ACCTTCCTTTCTTACATGTTCCAGGAGGGAAACACCCTCTGTGAATTACCCTGACTGGCCACCAGGTGCCAGCACAGGTGCTGATCCCAGCCCGGGGCCAGGGAATGTTACCTCACTAGTGATAATTAGTGATAAAGGGGCAGGGGGTGTATCCCACAGATGAATCATGAACTCTTATCATTTCATGGTCACCTTCACCCAAGCTGCCTTCCGCCTTCAAATTCTCGGCCAGTTCCTCTCGGTTTGTCAGACTCAAACCCAAACACCCTCTGCCCTAGTCACTTTCTCCACCTCCTGTAATAAAAAACTTGTCTCCAGCGGAGCAGGTCACTCGCCCATGGGAACCTGAGCTCCCACAGCCGATCAAGTCACTCACTCGCCCTGTCCTCTGCAGACACAGAGTCAGCTCACCCCAGAGACGTTGGCCTCTGCACAATGAGGCTTCTCCAGGAACGGCTCCCAGATGGGCCAAGACCCCCTACCCCTGCAGCCCCTTCTCCTCATTCACATCTCCTGTCCATGGGGATCTTGTGAGGGCGGTAGGACAAGAGCCCTGTTCCTGCTGGATTTAGGGGAGAGGTGGTTGGGGGCGTCTGAACAGGCGAAAACCTGGAGGAAGAGCAGGGACATATTCCCACCAGTCACTGCTGCTCCATGGGAAATACGCTCTGTGCATCCCTCCAACTAGCTACGAGATGTCACTGCTGCTCCCATGGCAGGCAGGGGTGGGTGGAGGACACACTCTGTGCATTATCCGAACTGGCCACCAGGTGTCACTGCTGCTCCAAGTCTGACATGCTACAGGATGGTGTGAAACGGAGCAGAGTCAGTTCTCAGGGTCAGATTTCCAGACGGGTGCAGCACACAGCAGCCCCCCATGAGGAACAAGGGGAGCTGCTGGATGTGGGTCTGTTTGGAAAATCCAGTGAGAATTGTGCATCTCGTGAGCATGGTGTGACCCCCCCCAGCGGCTGAACGTGTTCCCTGCGGTGCCCAGTGACGCTGGGATGAGTCCTGCCCTCTCAGAGCATCTGCCCCTAGCGAGGGGCTCGTCTCAGCTCGTAGCTGGATGCACCCGCTCGTTCCCTGCCTTGTGCCTGGGACAGTCGCACTCAGCAGCACGGACACAGAAGTACAGTGTCCCCCCGACAACCAGTGCGTTCTGGGACTCTGGACAAATGTATCCCTTAGAGCCCAGCACCATCTCTGGGAGCAGGGGCTTTTGGGTAATTCCCACGTGCAGAGCACTGCATTATGGGAAGGACGGGCTGAACCATGACTGCCCCAAAACCAGTGGCTCCTAGCCCATCCTGGGAACCAGCTTACAGGGCCCGGCCTTGGGGGAGCTGGGCCTGTGCTGGAGACCCCATCCCATGTGTCACTACCAATCCTGTGACCAGCCTGTGACAGCTGCAGTGTGGGGATGCCAGGTGCTGGGAGCAGGATACCAGCCCCCAATGTTCAGAAATTGCAAGTCAGACCCAAAAAATCATGAGATTTTTTCCCCAAAACCCACACGTTTGGTCCAAAACTCATGAGCTATTTTGGAGCGGATGATACCAAGGGGTTTGGTGCTCTGGTTTCTGAATTCCCCTGCCCCGGCCTGTGTGTCAGAGACAATGGCTGTGCCCGGCTCTCCCAGACGCACAGAGCAGGTGACTCTCGCTCCGTGGCTGCTGGGTAGAAAGGAGCTTCTAGCTTCTCCCCAGACCCCCACATTATAATTCATTCATTTTCTGTCCCCTGCCCAGCCCCACATCTGCCCCTTCCCCAGCCCAGCCATTAATTGCACACCCCCAGCCCCACATCAGCTCTGCCCCCCAAGTCCCACTGCTGCTCCTCCTGTGGCTCTGGGGGGCTCTTCACCCCTCTCCCCCTCCCCTACCCAAACACTCCTCTGCCTCCTGAGGGAAGGGGGAGGGGGCTGCCTGTCTCCTGCAGCAGCTCTGATTGGCTGCCCTTCCCCAGGAGGTGGGGCAATGGGTATTTCTGATGGTGCAACAGTGACACCTGCTGGCCAGTGTGGGTAATGTTTCCTTCATTAGCACAGCAGTGACACCCGGTGGCTAATTAGGGTAATGCACAGAGTGTATTTTGTAAGTGGAACAGCAGTGACTGTGCATTGCATGTTACTGCTGCTTCATTAAGTAATAAAATCTGAATTTAGAGCTTGGACACTGGGAGCCAGGACTCCTGGTTGCTATTGTGAGCTCGATGTCTATAGTTGTGAAATCTTGAGCAAGTCTCTTATTTTCTCTGTGCTGCACTTTCCCCCTGTGAAAGGGGGACTCACGCTTCTTTGAGGTCTATGGCACAAACCCCACCAGCTCCAATGGGGGCAGCGCTGTGCCCAGAGAGGGATCACAGGGTTAATTCATATGTAGAAAGCTCTGTGGTGAAAGGCTCAAGAGAGACTAGTTCATTATTAGGCAGTAATTCAAGGGCAGTGGGAGCAAGACAAATAGTTCATTAGAAAGTGAGAAACCGTGTGTGAGAGGAGAGGGGACCTTAAATTTGTCTTATGATTTAAGAACAAACCTGAGTACGTGACTGGGAGATTCTTCCCCTGAGACCCAGGCAGGTTTCTGTGATTCTGATCCTGATCTCGTCCCCAGAGGATCCGAGCACTTTCCGGTCGGGTGTTAAATGAGGTGACTGACGTCTGTCACGTGTGATTCGGTGCCTCTCAGCCTCTCTTTGCGCTGTGTGTGCAGTGGGGTGGTTGGTTGTGGGAGGTGTCACAGGCTGGCCGGCCATTTAAGGCAAGCCAAGCTCAGCCTGGCCTGTGAGCTAGCAGCTCGCCCCCCCCCGCTGGGGGTGATAGGGCAACTTAATGATACTTTAAAAAGAACAGGAGTACTTGTGGCACCTTAGAGACTAACAAATTTATTGTAGCATAAGCTTTCGTGGGCTACAGCTCACTTCATTGGATGCATGCACTTCAACAAGACAGATTTATTAATTACCGTAAGATAAATGTCAAGAGATTATAAGTAGCAGACACAGAGATCAGAGGTAATAACATTCCCTCTTCTGCAGAAAAGGACCTAGGTGTTACAGGGGACAAGAAGCTGGATATGAATCAGTGTGCCCTTGTTGCCAAGAAGGCTAATGGCATTTTGGGCTGTATAAGTAGGAGCATTGCCAGCAGATCAAGGGATGTGATCATTCCCCTCTCTTCAGCATTGGTGAGGCCTCATCTGGAGTATTGTGTCCAGTTTTGGGACCCACACTACAAGAAGGATGTGGACAAATTGGAGAGTCCAGCAGAGGACAACAAAAATGATTAGGGGGCTGGAGCACATGACTTATGAGGAGAGGCTGAGGGAACTGGGGTTATTTAGTCTGCAGAAGAGAAGAATGAGGGGGGATTTGATAGCAGCCTTCAGCTACCTGAAGGGGGGTTCCAAAGGGGATGGAACTTGGCTGTTCTCAGTGGTGGCAAATGAGAGAACAAGGAGCAATGGTCTCAAGTTGCAGTGTGGGAGGTCTAGGTTGGATATTAAGAAACACTATTTCACTAGGAGGGTGGTGAAGCACTGGAATGGGTTCCCTAGGGAGGTGGTGGAATCTCCATCCTTAGAGGTTTTTAAGGCCCGGCTTGACAAAGCCCTGGCTGGGAGGATTTAGTTGGTGTTGGTCCTACTTTGAGCAGGGGGTTGGACTAGATACCTCCTGAGGTCTCTTCCAACCCTAGTCTTCTATGATTCTATGATTATTACAATTTGGCCTCTTTCGCTGGTGAAATAAAGAAAAAACAAAGAACAGTGTCAATCAGGATTCCCCCCACCCCCACCCCTTTTGTGGCTGAATCAAATTCGGTATGTTATGGTGCTTGGGAGACCTCAGTGGAAATGGAGCTCAGAGCTCAGTTATGGTGAAGTTTCACACCCAGTGCGGAAAGGGCAATTTCATGAGACTTCCTACAGCTTTGAGCGCCGAGCTCCAGCTGGGACAGGGTCTTTACTTTGATCCTCCCGTATGCTGACGTTTCTTCCTTTCAGGGGGTGTAGATGGTTTCGCGCTGTTTCTCTGCGTTGGAAATGGCTCCCTCCATAACCACCTCCAGAACTCGGGCAGCGTCATCAGCAGCATCATTCAGGAAATCCTGCAGCATGTAGTATGTGGTAGGGTAAGAAGCTGCTGCAGATATTATGGAACCTAACAGAGGTATAAAATTGAAGAAAAATGTAACAAATTTCACTACCCCAGCTGCGCACTTGGTCAGTAGATTAGTTACAAGATCGCCTGTTATTTCCTCACTCAGTGGGGACTTTATAACGGCCTTCAGCTCTGCAATGGGCTTGTTAGCCTGCCTAGCAAGTGCAGCGAGAGCGTTTTCATTGAGGCCGAAGTCCCTGCAGAACTCTTTCAGGGACGTCTCCAGGATGGCGATGTCGCAAACAATGGTGAGACCTGGGATAGGAACAGCAGCGACTGCGCATGACGCCAGACTTTTCATCCCTATCTGTGCTTGCAGTTGTTCTCTTTTCTTCTCCAGGATTTCTTTAGAAACATTGGACAGGGATCGTAGAAGAGCGCGTCTCTTGTGACCGGGGAGCTCATCCACTAGCACTTCCTGAAATTTGGGAAAATCGTACTTGCCTAAGTCCCCTCTAGATACAAGAAAAACCCGTGGGGAGGTCACCTCTGCTTCTCCCAGGCCTTTGATGCAATTCTCTCTGATGGCATCGAGGATCGCACTCTCACTGTACTGATGTGGCCTTTTCGTGGCAGCTTTCCTCTGCTTCAGGATTCCCTTCTCGTCATACAGTGTTTTCTCATTTGTCAAATCCTGGTCCACCTTGGAGCGCACAAAGTAAAACTTCTTCCCTTGTCTCTGGATCTCCTGGGCGAGTTCAATATCGTGGGTTTTGAAGCGGGTGTAGGAGATGATGATGAAAAAGTCGTAGCGACTGAACCCCACCTGCTCGAGGTACGTGTCTGATTTAAATGTTGGGGTCCCGATCCCTGGCAGATCCCAGACTATTACATTTGGGTAGCTAGGATGTGGGTAAGCAGTGGGCTCCATTGTCGTTTCATTCACCCCTGTCTCAGCAGCACCTTCGTCGTCATCCCCCAGGCCCCGGATGGCGTTGACAAAGGACGATTTTCCAGAGCCCGCCTCCCCCGTGACAGCGATGTTGATAGTGATTTTATCAACCATCTCCAGAGACTCTTTCGCTTTAGCAGCTGCTTCGGGGAGGTTTCCTTTCCCAAAAGCAGCCATCAGTTCTTCCATATCCTCTTCAGGTATCTTGGGAAACTCTTTAGCATCTACCCCAGCCATGGCAGCTGCAGTGCACTGTTCAGCCTGCCTGCGAAAAGACAATGAGATATTCCATGTACGGTTAGTTTAGTCAGAAGATTGGTCCTGCTTTGAGCAGGGGGTTGGACTAGATGACCTCCTGAGGTCCCTTCCAACCCTGATATTCTATGATTCTAA